ATTATAAGTAAATATTAGATGGCTAGATAGTAAAATCACTCAAGGAAAACTTTTTGTTAGAGCACTAAAGGTGGTTTCTTATACTGGTTCTTGAGAAATAAGCGATTTTGGACAAAATGAACGTTTTGTTTTAAAATTTTCTGATCGTGTTACGTTACACCTATTCTTGAAATCCGATTTGTGGATCAGGACAATGAAAGTTGGGGTTCCAACACTTTCTCGACAAACAAAATCCAGACAAAAATTGACCGGAACTAACACTAATACGGGCTAACTTGTCGGGATTTTGACATTGTCGGGAAGGAAAATGATAGGATTCGCATATTTTAAATATTTTAAATATTTATTATGTAATTAATTGTCTCTTATATAATTTGCTACAGAAAGAAGCATGGGAGGAAATCCGAATCCGATGATTTCCGGATCACCATTACACAAGTATAGTGTTCTCACGGTATGGTTCGGGCCGGGTTTTGGCATAACCCGAATCGAACCAGAAAGTCGATTCGGCCCAAGAATAGACCGGACCCAAATGGGTGAAACGCGGACCCGACCCAGACCCGGTTAATCTTTTATCAATAATATTTACTATCATGAAAAACAAATGTTAGACAAAAAAACTTCATTTATATTTGGGCTAGAATTTATATTAAGATTAGAAAGAGCAATATAGTAAAATTGTTCAAGAAAATTTTTATAGCACTAAAGAGATAAATGTGATTTTTGCAAAGCAAATGCATGTGTAATAGTAAAATCAATCGTACACCTTAATTTAAAAAAAATAAAATATAAAACAATTAAATTTTAAAAATTTACATTGCAAGATACTCCCAATATTTATTATAAAATCAGTCAAATGATATTTAGTTATCTAGTTCTCTCCACAATGATCTCAACCACATAGCTTCCCATACTGTCTTACCATCCAATCGATTTTGCTTTTCAGTTATCATATCGCCACTAATACTAAACATCTGTTTACTTGGACCCTCATTGCAGGTAACACAAGATAGCCATGAGCAAATTTTGCAAGGTTTGGATAACATGCTTCATCCGTTTTTCCACCACTCTAAAATATTGATAATGGGGAATGGATTAGGAAAACCAGTCTTTGACAGATAGTTTTAAAAAATGTGATTAATGTTTGCATTACATGAAATTTCAATCCCAGATTTTGATTTATTTATAGACATTGTTATAAATTTTTTATAGCTTACATAGCGTCACTTAGGAAAAATGGTAGCCGGAAAATTTGCTGGTTTCGGATGTTTCGGATGCTGATATTCGGTAGTGATAATTGAATACTGATCAATCATTTTAATGAATTTAACAATGGCATTAATTAATACGTATGTAATTATTACATATTAAATTTCTTTTTATATCGATTATTACGATTGTACCTATCCTCTCATTATTACTTTCGCTATAACAATAGCAATTCTTATTTCTCTATTGTCATATACAAAAAAAAACCCCCAATGATTATTCAAAAAAAAATTCAACTTATTCAAGCAAAAAAAATTATAATAATACCATCCGAATAAATGCCAAATCTGCAAAGAAAAACTTGTATTGGGTGTCATGCTATTCGAAATTCTGATGAATTCCTAAATAAAAAAGGAGTGAATATAACAAAATGTCTACAGTGCCGGAATAATATTAGAAATTTACGGTCAAAAAGTAATGAGAATCAATTTGATTCAATGATTAACTATTTAGAGATTATGGATACCATATATAGCTCTCTTATTTCTTTAAATAATACCAACGAACATTATAAAGGAGAAAACGAAGAGCTAAATATGAAATTTAATGTTGAGCTATCATCTTTTACTGATTTTATTTTAGAAGATGAATCGCAAAAAGAAAATGTAAATTCTAAAATAAGTCAGCAAATAATATCTTATATTTCAGATGGTGACGGTTATTCATGGGTCTATCGAAATAAATACCAAAAAAAAGACACTCTTTTTTTTATATATTATTGTAACTGTCGTATTGAACTTGGAAAGTGACAAGCAAAGCATCCTGTGCCAGATAAACAAAGAGATACACCAACATTCTTGGAATGATTTAATTGTGAAGGAATAATAACAATTGAAATTCTTTTTACATTAAATATAATTAAAGTCAAATACTCTCATAAAATGCTGCATCCCAGACCACAACATACAAAAACAACTCAAGAAATTCAGCATTTTATTCAACATAATATTAATTGCTCAGCTTCTGAAATTTGGTATCAGATTCGGGAAAATCAAATCAAAGAACATGAATATATAACAGTTCAACAAGTATATTATTGGTGGTCTATCGAGTCTCACAAACTATATCAACGCAACTCCAATCCTTTATTATCAGCAAAATATTTATTAATTGAGTTTGGTCAAGAGATCCTTATAGATATTAATTTACCTACACCCGCTATTGGATTTTTAACAGCCTTGTTTCATCATCTATTAAACAATAAATTTGACACAATTGAAATTGATGCAACATTTGGCACTAATAATTCAGGTTGGGAGTTATATGCTATAATAGGTGTAATCGATGGTACTGGTTTTTCTCTTAGCTATCTTCTAATTTCAGCTGGAAAAAATCGAAATATAATGGAAATTCTTATAAGATGGATGCAAACTTTAAAGGATAGAAATTTAAAAGGATTTCTATTTATTTTAACAGATAAAGATTTTGCTGAAATCAGCGCAGCACAAATTGTTTTGCCCGAAGCTCACTTACAATTATGCACTTGGCATGTTCATCATGCAATAAAACAACAATTAGCATCTAATAAAACAAGTACTTATTATTCATACAATCCAAAACTTGCTCATAATGAATGTCCAACTATAGATCCTAATTGGGGAATTATAAGTAATCCAAATATACAAGTATTTTGTCCTCTAAACTTGCGGGAAAGTATACTTAATCTCGTAGAAAAACATTCAAATCAATATATGCTATTACCGAGGCCAAATGGAACATTTATTACTAATGCAAATCAAATTTGGGAAGAATATGTTAGTGAGATGATGCTGTTTTGTCAAAATAATAATTTACTTAAATTATGGAACTATTTATGGACAGAATGGTATTCTAAGAAAAAATAGGTTTTATGGGCTCGGGCATCTAGTAAAAGTATTAGCCATATCAAAACCACCATGATAGTTGAGTCATATTGGCGACATATCAAGCATGATTATTTATATAAATTTCATAAACCACAGATCGATCATTTATGTTACATTCTTGTAAAAAAAGTTATTAATCAGCAATTATATCGGCTTAAATTACTACAAAAAGGTCGTTATACAGTGCCTTGGCGAAAGGAATTTAAAAAAGAGTGGAGAAATCTTGAAAAAAAAAAATAGAAATGAATAACAAATATTTTACAAATCCCGTTGGATGGATATGTGCATGCCCTGTATTTATTAAAAGCCGCTTCTTTTTGTGTAAACACTTAGTCAATTCTGTTGAGAAAGTCGATGCAATGTTTTTTAAAAAGGTAAAAATAAATAAATATATTTATTTATTCACATTAAAATGTTTATTCTGCTATAATTTAATATAACAGGTACAAAGAAGAAATTACCCTTTAATTTCAACTTACGAAGGTGAACTAGTAAATATATTCCAATTCAGGGGTTCTTTAACTCATAAGGTTTCCAATATTCAAGTAATTCAAGATTCAATTATTGACAATGAAGATTGTTATATAATTGAAAGCGATGATGAAAAGCAGGATACATTCGAAACCGATTTGGCTTATCTACTTGGAATTTTAGACAAGGTATATTTAAAACTCTATAATTTATTTATAGCATGCTATTTTTTGATATCAGTTTTTTATTGTACTCAAGACAAAAGAATTGTTAGAAGAATCACGTAATAAAACAAAAGGACACCTATGGTTAGAAAGGATTCGTTCAAACTTCAAGCCATTAGAAAAAATGAATGACGATATCATGAAATTAAAAAATCGTCGAACTATGCCACAAACGTGGAAAGACTTTAATAATAATACACAATATTGGGAATAGGTGAATGCTTGGATATCATATTCTAATAATATATAAAATCTGCAAAAATTGCATCTTGCTATATAAAATTGCTTTTGCTCAAGTATTTAAACTGTTTAATCGTTTTCTTTAAATGTACTGCATATTATATAATCAAAAATCAAAAAAAATTTTTTTTTAATACTGTTGCTGTATAATTAGTATTAGTATTTTTTAATTATACTTTATAGTACCGTAGTAATCAAAAGCACTACTTATTCGAAAAAGTTTTTATTATCTGTCGTACACATGTACATACGTACGTACGTACGTACGTACGCACATACTGTATCAGTCGATCAATATGTCACGCAGATCATGTGTATAAAATTTTTAATAGTGGGTCAAATGATCGACGCACCCAAATTTTATAAGTAAAATTTTGCTTAAATTTGCTTTCTAGGCTTATTTAACAATAAAGAAGTTGT